TGTCATTATAGGTTATTCGCTGATCGTTTGGGTATGATATCCTTACTATATAAGAATAGGTATTCATGGTATGGTGAAGCTATAGTAAGGACAGTGCACATATCATCATCATGATGATGAGGAAGTATATATCAGGTAGAGGGTTTCATACCACACCTCAACGACATCGTCAAGTCACAGAACACTTCTGTGATTAGAGAAAGTGATGGTATTAGTACAAGTATTAGAGGAGGATGGGATGCTCCTCCTTCTCCTTCTTGTAGTGTTGATGGTATGTATAATTACTATCCTACACTTGCTGTTATTATCATTATAGATACACCACCCATTACCAAACGTATTACACCCAAATGTATACGCTTCCTATTGGGTGAGGAAGGTGTTAATATTGCTGCTGCTGTGGATTACTGGTAATAGTAGATGTTGATAATAATACTGAGACTAGTAGTATGATGATGATGATGTAGGTCCTCTAATAGTAGTAGATCTCCAATAACATTGGTATCGGGTATGGAGGTAACTACTAATGATAAGAGTAGTAGTTGGTGGCCAACAGCATCATCATCATCATCATTATCCTCTGAGGTTGATGGTATCTTTAGTATTGGGGCTAGATATGCACCATGTCGGCACTTTCAGGTCACTTTCATATACTATTATTGATAATAATAATATCAACCTTAGGTATCATTAAGGAACGACTTTACATTATCATCACCACGTTTTGGATTTACAAGGATACTCCTTTCTGGATGCTCGATAGGTAGTGATGAATAGCAATTACTACTACTACTACTGCCTATGTAGGGGACCAACGTAGTGCTGGTATGATCCTAGCTACTACTGCTGGTAGTGGTATGCAGATAGTAGTAGCAGGTAGGGAGAAAGGTGAGTATTATCCTTATTATACTCCTTATTATTATATATAGTACAACGATCCTGTCAACTGCTAGAGAGGTTGGGTATATCCTTTGAATGCGGGTATAGAATGGATATACTACAGAAGGAGGTAGGGTGATGTGCAAGGTATGGTAAGCAGCAGCCCCGGTATAGACTATATTCAGGTATCATTATGTATTAGTAGTATATATAATATATCACCTGATAAGAGGGTAGTAGCATCAGCAGTCATTGACTATGAGCATTCACGTCGGTTACCATCATCATCACATAGAAG